TGCCAGTGGCGGGAATGAAGATGGCGCCCGCCCAGCCCTCCCAGGTGACTAGTGACCGTACGAGCGATTCTAGATTTGCAAAAGGTGTAAACGAGTTCTTGCCAAACCAATCCCTTCCTTTCTGCAGAGCCATAAGGCCGCTGCTTACGAGGGTGCAAACTTCTTGGCTTGTGCTCGAACCCTTTTCTCATATTCCACTCTGTTTTGGCTGAGGAGGTCAAAAAGAAAAAGAGGTTAGAAAGGGCTACAGGGATCCGTAGTGGGTACCTGGTGAGGCCTGTGCCCAGAGAGCCACCTGAGGCAGAAAGGTGAGAGGTCCAGGGCAGAGCCCTGCTACAGGCAGAAGCCAGAGGCAGGAAGGCATGTGTTGGAAACCAAGGGTGGCTGGTGTGACAGGACATGGGAGGTTTCATGGTCATCCTGACTTGTGCATGGGATGGAGTTGCTCCATAGGCAAGAGTAGGGCTGGGCCTAGGGTGGACCCAGGCTGCCCTGAGCACAGTCATTTACAGAGTCCATTTCCAATCTTTTTCTTTACTGAGGAGATGGCATCTGGCTTGCTACCCAGATTGAATTGCAGTGGCTATTCACAGGAGCTTAGAACAGATACTGGATAGGCATAACCTTCAACTCCTGGGCTCTAGTAATGCCCCTGCCTCAGCCAGTTAAGAGCTGGACAATCCAATGAGTCCAGGGTTAACCACAGATTCAGGTAGCATTAAAAATGTGGAGATACCTGTGATGGTACACACCTGTAATCCTAGTACTCAAGGATGAGGCAAGAAGACTGCAATTTTGACGCCAGCCTAGGCTGTATACCAAGATCTTGTCTCAAAACCAAATATCCCCTCCCCTCAAACAAAACAAAACAAGAGAAACCTAGTACTAAGCAGTTTGCTTTCCAGAATTTTTATTTTTTGAGATAGGTTGCTCTTATGTTGCCCATCCTGGGCTTAAATCTGCAATCTTCCTGCCTCAGTCTCTCAAGTGCTGGGGTTATAGGTGTCTACTACCATGCCCAACTTCAGTGTTGCGTTTTTGCTCCCTATTTCCACACACAGACATGAACTTCTGGTGGGACTTGGGAAGGAAGCTGGGGCTGAGAACTCATCCTGCACTGGCAGACTTGGGTGACACTGACCAGACAATGCTGCATCTGGGAACCACAGACTCTTACGAGGGAACAGTGTGGTTTCACGGACCGAGAGAGCACAATAATGTTCACAGAACTATGCTCCTCAGGGCAGAGGTCCTAGAGACTGCTTATACAGGATGCTGTGTCATGCCAGCTACAGCTTGTCTGTGAACCTGCAAAGTGCTGAAAGACAGGCTGGGCTCGCCAAGCCTAGTGCTTTTTTGCATAAGTGCTGTGCCTACCACACCACGTGATGCTCATGTCCCAGGACGTGCAGATTCTCTGAGGGCTGGGGGACTAAAAAAGGGCTGGATGTGCTGATGTGTATGGGCAGCACTGACCCAGGGCCTCACCCAACTCGCTGCCCAATCCTGCTACTTACTAACTGAGGGTCCTCAGGATGAGGTACCTGTCAGGGCAGGCCTGGAAACTAAGGGGAAAGGGACCTGAGACTTCCAAACACACTTCACAAAAGGTGCTTTTGAAATGGATGTTTGTCAGCAAATCAATGACTTCTCAGGGGAAAAAAGTACACAAGACAAATGTGGTAGTGCATGCCTGTAATCCCTGCACTCTGGAAGGCCGAGGCAGGAGGAACACAAATTTTGAGTTCGACCTTGGCAACTTAGCAAGACCCTGCCTAAAAAGGGGGTGGGGGTGGGGTGGGGAAGGTGGGACTGTAGCTCTATGTAAAGGCACTGGGTTTAGCTCCTACTACTGCCAAAAACAAATCTAATAAAAAACCAAAATAAACCATACCCCACAAAAAGCAAACAAAAAAGCTAAGTAGGGCAGTGGCAACAAGCCCAGGTAATGTGGGAATGCCAAGTCTGGGTTGGGAACTACAGGCTTTGGTATAGGTGGGGGACCAAACCCACCATGTGAACTGTGACATACAGTGGACATACATTCTTGCATCTCTATGGTAACAAAAGCCCAAAGGCTGCATGGGTTACACCTCCACTGGGCCTGTGCAGCATGGTAGTTTTTGCCCTCAGTGTGCAGGCCATAGCTGTGGCACCTTGGTGAAAACATCCTAACATCCTGCATGAGGGGCTGGGTCGGGCTGAGCTCTCGCAGCCAAACAACAGCAGGGTGGATGGAAGTCACATTCCAGGGTTCCTGGAGACTAGACTGGCTGAGTGTGGCCACTCTTGGCAGCATCCATGCTGGGCACATATACAAGTAGGAGCACCTTTCTTATATCCTGCCTCCCTCAAGGTCCTCACCACAGCCAGCCTTGGAACCCCTCAGGAGGAACAGACTCAGAGGGATGGGCCACAGCCCTTCAATCCCTTAGGGTACCTGGAGGCTCTGTTCTCAGAAGCCCTATGCTGTACTCCTCCAGGGCCCAAGCAAAATCCTGAGCAGCTTTTTCTCAAGGCCATCCACTGGAGGCACTTTGACAAGCCTCCTATGGTACCCAGGCTGATCTATACCTCCTGCCACCCATTCTTGCTCACCACAGGATCCTTGCTCACCAGACACGACCTTCTCTAACCATCTCTCATGGCTTCCCCGTATCTTCCTAGGCTGTTTGACTTGGACCACCCTCCTGGTCCTCTGCTATACTGCAGGTGCCCTCTTGACAGATGCCTATTCATACTTCTAGAGAAGAAAGGATTGTGACCAGCAGGCCCAACTCAATACTAACCAGTAGATCGTGTAGGCCTCTGCTTGAGCTGGGTCTTGGATATTTGGTTCATTTAGAAGTTCCTGTATTCCTAATAAGATCTGCAAACAAAAACAAAAACACAGAAAGAAACACACCACCACACATGTGGGGCTCAGTGGCTGGCCGCATGGCCTCAGTCTTGAGGAAGGGCCAGGATAGAGAATGGGTGATGGGCAGGGCCAGTCCCTCCTACCTGTTTGATCGTGATGGCTGGCCTCCAGTCTTTATCCTCCTCCAGGATGGACAGGCACACTGTGCCTGAGGGGTACACATTCGGGTGGAAGAGTGGTGGCTCAAATTTACCTGAAGGACAGGAAGGAAAGATGCATTGGAGGCCACTGTACACCCTCCCCCAACATTCTGCCTCCTCCCATAGTAAGATGCCTTTAGGAGAAGCAACTATGCCCAGGAGGGACCAGGAGAAGAGCAGGCACATCCCTCTCCTTCCAAGGCACATGGCAGACCAGGGATAAAACATCACTTAGGGCCAGGGATATAACTTAGTGGCACAGCACCTGATTGGCAAGTGCAATGTCCTGAGTTCAATTTTTGGCACCCCCCCCCCTCCCAAAATGTACAAAACAGCATCACCTTTAGGACAGTGTCCAGGTGAAGACTCTGGGTGGCCAAAGGAGATCACAGAGTGTGGCCAGATCAAAATAGCTTATGGTCTTTCCTATGTCCTTCTCTAGCTGGCTGGACTCAAGGAATATGGGAGGAAGAGCCACAGTCTAACAGGACAGGCTTAAAGAACAGACCAGGTGACATCGTGAAGGTCTACACAACCTTTCACTGCCTGGATATTATTTCACAAAAATTTGGGCTTCCAGAAACCCATGTTCCATAACAGTCCCACTCAAGACAGTCCCCCAGCTGGTATTTAATATATGTCTCATCTTTTATCTGGGTAACTTTTTCCTCTATTTCCAAATGTTATTCAAGTACTTAGAAAAGTAGCTTAATAGGAAATGAACATGCCACTAGTAACACTAGCTTCTGAGAAACTCCCTGACACTGCAAATCATCCCAACCTCTGACTCCTAGAGCTCATTTTTGTTTTTCTTTTGGTACCGGGAATTGAACTCTGGACCTTGCACTTTCCAGGCAAATACTATGCCACTGAGCTATCTCCCTGGCCCTTGGAACTGACTTTTGGGGCTGTCTGCAACATTACATTTCTTGTTCTGCATGAAGTCTCAAGGCCACAGTGAAGGCTCCCAGATATGAACTCATGCATATGTGTGATGGGGGAGGGCATCATATGAGTCCCAGCAGATGTGGCTGTGTTTGCCATGCTACCCCACACTCTAAACCAGGCCTCTTGAGTCCTCATTTGCATCTCTCTGGAACCACCAAGATGAACAGTCTCTTCCTCCACTGCCATTCGTTCTTTTTCTTATCTCTTGTGACTAGTAGGAGCGCTTCATGTCTTCTGGCTGTAAATCCTCCTTGGTATGTCTTACAAACATCTACCCTGGGCTTTTCAGTATCTTCTGGTGAATGCAAGTACCTAGTTTTAACCTGACTCACCAACTTTATTTCTTTGGTCAATAAAAATTGGCTGCACATAAAAAACCAAACCAAAACAAAAACTACGTATCACAGATGTCAGTCTGCTTTGGGTGATTCACTGGCTTCCCTTGAAGTGCAGCAAGTGCTGCCTGATCTGTGACCTTACTCCTTAGCAAAGTCTGTTGCCAAACTACACAAAAGGAACACAAAAAGGCATCAGTATCTTCAAAGTCTTGCCTGCACACTCAGGGTCACGCATAGGAGATTCACTAGTGCTATATCCTTGCTGACCCTTTCAATCACTATAGTTCTATTACATGCTATTATTAATGCATATTTGGATTGTCTCTTTTGGCAATTACATATGGGGCCACCGTAGTTTTCTTGTCTTCAACTCTGTAAACACATGCTTCAACTGGATGTTTCCTAGAATGGAACTGTGGAAATTGAGCTTCCTTAGGCAGGGCAGACAATATTCCAAAAGGAAGTTCTTCAGTGAGTGTCTGAGGCTCCTGCTGCCTAGCACTTGGACTGCATCTGTCCTGAGGACACTGGCATTCCATAGAGGTACACCTTCCCCTCTGGTGAGGAAACTAGCTGTCCTTCCTGGTGTGGGCCCATAGGTGGACAGCCTCCTTTGTGAGGGCCTACTCAATTATATGGTTGTTTGCTTTCTTCTTTGTGACACAGAGTCTTGATGTATTGAAAGTGGCAAGAGGTATACACTCTCTCAGCTCCATGGCTCATTCCATCTACATTGGTGTCTTCTGATGAGGACAGCTTTTACTTTAAGGGATCCAATGGACAGTTCCTGTATGGACAGCACTTCCTCTGTTTTCCTGGCAAGATCCATGCCTGCCCCATCATGAATACAGCCTCCTGCCCCTTCGTCTACAGGCCCTACATCTCTCCTTCACTGGGTTCCACATGTACCTGTAAGCTTGTCTGTGGTGAAGTGCAGGACTTCCTCCATCCACTGGCCATCCCTCTGGGGCACCACTGGCACACACCAAGCTCATGTACATGTGATCTTTTTGGACTGTCCACTCTACTCTGTGGATCTGCTCTCCCATCTCCATGCCAATCCAAGTATCTCAGCCTCTATGCCCCAGTACAAGCCACCACCAATGGGCCTGGATATTCCTTGCACTAAGCTTCACCTTGGGTCAAAACCCTCAGGAGCTCCAAGGATGCCAAATGTTCTTGCCTTCTGCTTATCTACCTGTTTTATTATATATCTATGTCTCTGTATCTCTCTCTCTCTCTCTCTCTCTCTCTCTCTCTCTCTCTCTCTCTCTCTGCATCTCTCTCTGTTTTTGAGACAAGGTCTTACTATGCTTTTCAGGTTGGTCTTGAGCTCACTTTGTAGCCCAGTCCAGTCTCAAACTCTCAATGATCCTCCTTCCTCAAACTCCACAGAGTGCTGGGATTACAGGTGTGTGCCACCATGCCCAGCCATAGAGCTTGCTGGACTCTGACTGTAATCCAATGATAGGTATACTTCAAAGGGGATACTTTTCCCCTATGCTATGGTCTGCCAGTGATCTAAATTCTCTTGGTCTCCCTCAGAAACAAATACTAGTTTCTAGTGTAGAGATCCTGTGCTATCTTTTGTGGGATTCATTTCAGTGCATCTAAATGGTTTAATTAGAGCTAGGTATGGTAGCACATACCTATAACTCCAGTACCCAGGCTGAGGAAGGAGGAAGCATAGTTTAAGGCCAGCCTGGGCTACATAGTAAGTTAAGCACAGTCTCAAATATATAGTGAGACCCTCTCTTAAAAAAAAAACAACAAAAAACAACAAACAGCAAAAAACAAACAGCTGGGTGTGGTGGTACACACCTATGATCCCACACTCAAGAAGCTGAGATAGAAGGATCCCCTTGAGTTGAAGGCCAGATTAGGCTACATAGCTAGGTTCAAGGCCAGCCTGGACTACACAGGAAGACCCTGTCTAAAAAACAAAAATGAAATGCCAAACAGTAACAACACACAAAAACCAAACCCAAATAAATGGTTTAACTTTCATTTGTTGCATTCCATAGAAACTCTACATATTAACTGTTTCTTTTTTTTTTTTAATTTATTTATGTGTGTGTGTGAGAGAGAGAGAGTGTGTGTGTGTCCAGCTCAGCCCACCAGGGGGCGGGGCTGGCTGGCATGTGGTGCTGGGGGATTGAACCATGGCCCCTGTGCTTTGTTAAGCTTGTTCTAAGTAGGTGCTTTAGACCACTGAGCCATCTCACCAGCCCATATTAACTGTTTCTACAGTCACATTTATAAGCAGTCAGAAGTTGTGGTCCCCCTTTCAGGCTCTCTTACATGACTTTTCATTTTCTCTTGTTTTATGGTACTGGAGACTGAACCCATGGCCTTCATATAGTTATATTCCAGCTCTTCTTACTTTTTATTCTGAGACAAGGTTTTGCTAAGTCGTCCATGGTAGGCTCAAACATGTAATCCTCCTGCCTCAGCTTTCCAGGCTGCTGGGATTACAGGTGTGTTCAACCATTTCTGGCTACAAATGATTAAAGCAGTTATGTCTATTTTGTTCTTAGATTTTTCTCTTAATTAAAAGAGATCACTAAGAAATGAGGGACACCACAAAAGATTTAAAGCAGTCAACAATGTACAATGGAACAAATCTGTGCTTAGGGTATCCATTAATTTTTAAGTTCTGATAGAATCATTACACTGTGATGGAAAATTATCCATTACAATGGAAAATATTTCAGCACAGTGAAAGTTCATATCCAGCACTAATGCCACTATGCAATGCTCTTCTCAGCATGGTGGATGATTTTGTGACTGAGGTCAGTGCGCTGGTCAGTGCACAGAGCAGGGGGACTCACAGGTCCTCTCTTCCTGATGTTAGCTAAGCTACACTGAGATCATTTTGTCAGAGCCCGTTTTAAACATAGATCAGCCTTTCCCCGCCCCGTAGGTTGGGCACTCATCCCTCCAGGTGCAGCTACAGCCAAAGCTGAGTGGTAATTATAAAGAAACAGGTAGCAGCAAGCTGGATTAGGGCACGATCTTTTCTTTTTTTGGTGTGGAGGATCGAACCTGTTCTTGCTCTATATATGTAACCTTCAGGAAGAAAGCAGGAGTCTGTTTTTTTCTGCAGGCCTGCTCCCACGAGGACCGGAATGTTCATGGGCACCAGATGAAGGTTCTCAAAGGCAGCCATGAAAGGTTCAGGTGCTCTGGGCCCAGGACCGTCCCACCATTAACAAGGATCAGAGAGTAAGCCAAATATGTACTCTTCCCAACCCCAGGGCTGGACTCCTAGCTATAGCTCCTATCTATAGCCTGCACACAGATCAGAGCCTCATTCAACCAGAGCTGCCTTTATCTCCACACCAGTATCACTGTACCACCCAGGGCTCTGGAACTCTTTGGAGAGGGCTGTTGGCCCCTGTAGAAACTTACATTTTGGTGGTGAGGATGGATAATCATCTTTGAAAAGCATCCGCAGCTTGAACAAGCCTCCTTCCCAGGGAGTCTGTGGGGAGGTGAACTGTGATTAGATGTGGCTAGCCTGCCAAAGTAGGTCCAGGAGAGGCTGATCCCCGTAATACACAGAATTGCCATATCCCTGGGCCCAAAGATTCAACAGATGTGGGCTCCAAAACTGCTCTAAAACCTGTACTGTCTCCACTAAAGGGAAATTCTGTTGTATCTATGAGGGGAGCTGAAAAGGGCACTCCTTGGAGAGGCAGGAGCTGGATTTCAAACGAAACAAGTGGGGTTTCCCCAGACTTTCAAAAGGTCACAATCCACAGCTTGTGGCTCAGATATAGAAAGCTACTCATTCTACCCTGTCTCAGATAGGAACTGGTACTATTCCACACCCTAATATCACCTCCGACTCCACTCCCCTCAGAAGGCACCTGCCCCCTGAAATAAGGGATAAGAGATGATCTCAGCAAGGGCTGGGGATCCACACTATGCTCAAGAGGCCCATACACACAAACTCAACCTCCACCTGCTCAGCCAAGGTCAAGGCCTACCAAGATGATGCTTTGCTTAGCAGAAGAACCTAGACCAAGCTCATTACCCTGAAGATGGGATGAAATGGAAGCAATGAGCCTCTACAAACAGTCCAGCTACTTTAGGTCTCCAGTGAGAATACCAAGAGCTCCTTACCTGGACCCTAGTCCTGTTCTCCAACCCAATTCCCAAAGCCCACCCGATGGTAGCCTGTGCCACCTGCTACAGCTTAGTCCTAATCTGGATGTGGCTGCTCCCCTCTGATCTGAGCCTGGGATGTGACCTGGCAAGTGGTAAGCCTGACAGTGTCATCACAAACACCCCAGACATCTAAACCTGAGCTTTCTCCTGCTAGAGTGCCATGCACGTACAGCAGAGCTGGCTTACCCCCTTCTTCCCTGGGATGGCGCACTCCCAGTTCATCAGGTTCATTGTACCGTCGGGATTCTTGGTAGGGACAGCCACAAAGCCCTGAGAGAAAACAGCCACAGAGGTGTATCAGCACTTTGGGCCTGTTTAGGTGCTCAGAGAATGGGTCTGCAACCCTCTGCCTGGTGGCTACAGGCCAGCACAGCAGAGACCATGGGTGCTGTGAGTCGCCCCCTCAGGGCCAAAGAAATAGAGCTCTCCTTACAAATGGGTGGTCTTTTCTCCAAGCTTTTCTCTCCTGGGCAAGTCTGCTGAGGGCGATCCCCGACATATTCAAAGTCCCTGCAATAGGCAAGAGCAGAGTATGGGTTAAAAAAGCAAATCTCTGTTTTGCTGTGCTGTCCTGCACATAATGGCTAGGGTATGTGGGTATTTCCAAAAAGCAGTTGAGCCAAGTTCAGTCAATCAGTAGACTGTGCCCTGCATTCCACAGTAAGGAGAAAGACTCTGGAGGCCAGGCTGCATCTCCTGAGAAATGCAGTGAGGCAGTGTGACAGGGACCCCATTCTACCCTCAAAAATCTCAGGAAAGGCAGCCTGAAAGCTAGGGCACAAAGATGGGTTATACCCTTCCTGGTGTACCTGGTATATGTGTGTATAGGCAGCTCCCCATCCTCCCAGAAGACAATAATTCTTCTTGAGGACAACAGTGAAAAAAAGCACAGAATGGGTAAAGCTTATAGTGGACAAGCCACCTCAGCAGGATGGCCCTTCCTGCTGTCAGCCCACCATGTGCCTGCCAGCTCTGGTCCAGGTCTGCCCTGTAATCCAGTAGGTTACTACTCAAAGTTCTGGTCAATGCCATCTCAGCGGATTTGGATGAGTCCCTCAAGACCCTTATTATCACAGGTAAAGGAGCACTTTCATTCAAGGCTATGGTGCCAGTACAGTAGAAGAACTGGTGGGCAGGGCCTACAGCTCGATGGTACCTGACTATAACCCACCAGGTGCCAGTCTCTTCTTTCACCATGTGAAACAGTACTCAAGCCTCCAAGCTTGCTGGAGAACTGGGTAGGTCTTCATAGCCTAGAGGTCCTGGAGACCTCCCAAACACCTAAACATAAAGCTAGGCTCTTACAAGAAAAGGAACATTTCTTTGAGGCTGCTCATACTGAGGGTTATAGGGACACATCTCTCACCAGCAAAAGGTTCCACATGGAGGCTGAACCTAATACTCTTAATAACATACACACAGTGGGCCAGAGAAATAGCTCAGGGGCATATGTTTGCCTGGCAAGCAGGTCCCAAGTCTGATCCCTGGTACTGCAAAAACCAACCAACCAATCAACCAACCAACCCACCCACCCCATACACACAGGGCTGTACTGAGTTTGGTGGCACCATTCTCTCAGTAAGACCAGCACCAGCCCACCTTCACTCTTCAGCTCAAAGCTGTGTCTTGACCACTGGTCCAGTTTCAACACAGCACTGACCCAAAATCCCCCTTCTTCCCTGGGATAGCACACTCCCAGGCAAGAAGAGTTGCAGAGCCCTCACTCCATTGAGAACTAGGCAAGAACCTTCTAGCTCTGTGACTCTGGAAGGGATGGCTATGTTCTTATGAAGCTACTGGCTGGCCCCTTCCTCTCCTCTGATCATAACTGCCTTCAAACCATATCCTTCACAAACCTCAATGACTTCCCTACCTCTCCAACCAAAATGCATCACCCTTAAACTTCATTTGCTAGGTGATAAGCTAGGTGTACCTCATCTTGCAGCACAGCTGTTCTCAGTGTGTTTCACAAAGGAGCAAAAGTGAGTTACAGGTGCCAGGGCTCCATCCCACTGCGTTAAGAACTTAGGTGGAAAAAAACCAAAAAAACTTGAGTGGGGCCCTGTACTGGGGTCTCAGGCTTTTTTTTTTTTTTGGGTGCTGGGAACTGAACTCAGGACTGTAAGTTTGCCAGGCACGTGCTATGTCACTGAGCTATATTCCCAGCCTCTCAGCTTTTGACCAATCTTTTACCAGACAATTAAATGTTTCATTGTCATCAGAGGGCACTACAAATTAGCACATGGGCAGAGGATTTTCAGCAGTCATGTGTATTCAGATCCTGGTTAAGAAAGAGATAGTAAATCCTCAAGTCAACAGCATGGGCCATCAGGGCAATGACAAAAAAGCCCCCACAGCTCTAGCACCTAAGCCTGGAGTTCAGGCGTTGATGGCTACTACCTTGTTTAGCTTCAAGTCCGAAACAGACACATCAGGCTCAGAACCAAAGTAGAACTGTGTTTCACCACCACAGCAGTCCAGAGCCCTGGTGTGCTCACCCTCCCTAAACAATGAAAAACAACTACCTAAGACAGAGGTAGCAATCCTTTGGTATGTGTGCCACAGCAGGTTGTTAATTATCACTGAAAGCTCTAAAAGGTTCACTATCACTGACCCAGCACAAGTATGGGCATTAAGGCCCCCACCAAGATACTTATCTGGAACATTTATGCTTTCAAGAAACTAGGACCAACACAAAATTCTTTTAAGAATAGGGTAAAATACAGGTCACTGGCCCTGGTGGCTCATGGGTGAGGAAGAACTAGATGCTGCCATACATAAGATGACAAGGCTGGCTGCTTCTATTTATTTTTGAGACAGGATCTCATGTTGTAGTTCAGGCTGGGCTTGAACTTTCAGCAATCCTCCTTCCTCAGCCTCCCAAGAGCATGCCACCATGCCTATTTAGTCATCATCTTCTTCTTTTTTTTTTTTTCTTCCTTCCCCTGAGATAAGAGTTTTACAATGTAGTTCAGGGTGTTCTTTAACTCATGTAGCCCAGGCTAGCCTAGAACTCACTGCAATCCTCCTGCCTCAGCCTCATGAGTGCTGGGATTACAGGTGCCTGGCTTGGCTGGCTGCCCTTGCTGGGAGGGAACAGGCCTGCCTGTTATAGTGGCCACTCTGTGATCTGTGTTCAGGGAACCACTTTCACTTAATGAGTGTACTATGGGCAGTTCAGGCAGTATTGAACAAACCCATGAGAATCTGCAGAAAACTGCTCCAGGGAGGGAAGAGACAGTGCCCAGTCGAAGAGCTTAAGGGCCTGAGGGTCTCCAGGGTTCGGACAGCAAGCAAACATCACAGCTTAATTCCCACAAGCTAGTTTCTCAAACCCTTCACTTAGCCTGTTCTTAATGGGCCAGCTCAATTTCATCCTGAGGGTTCTTAGAAATTCTTCCATCTTGAAGGCATCCTATAGCCCAACTGACGGTGGGCTCCCTGAGCACAGGTTACAGAGTGGCCACTATAATGGCCCTATTTCTTCCCAGCAAGAGCAGCCAGCAGAAGCAGGTGGCCAACCAGGCTGCCACACACATTCAGGTTAGACAGGCCATTTGAGTAGCAGGAGGTCCCTAACAAGTCTGGGCAGGACCAGACATCCAAACTTCCTGAAACCCTGGACTGGCACTATGGACACTGAGACGCCATGGGTACCATACTTGACAAACCTGGGCAGAAACACAGGCCACTTTTTCCATTCGAGGACACAGCACAGCTTTCTACAGAGGTCCCTGTCCTAGGGACAACTGCAGCCAGCCATGTGTGAACAACACTGAGGAGTGATTCTAAAAGACCCTACTCCCAGTGCTTCTTCCCAAGACCTGGTTGTCTCTTACATGTCTTTTATCCCACAACATGCCAAATTACAGTGGGTCCACAGGAGACTCACAACAACAGGAAGAGAGCCCCAAGGGCACATCTTCACCCATCTAGGCAACAGCCTGCCCAACAAGACAGGTGCTCCTACTGTCCAGAAGCAAGCAACTGGTTGCAATACCAAACTGTGCACTCCAAATCCTACTTAAAATTGAATTTGCCTTCCCAAGAGACAGCTACTTTCAACGTGTTACTGGATGCTTCAATACAGGAAAGACAAAAACTCTAACCTGCCAGTCAGACAAGGCACACTGTACAGAGTTGGAGCCAAACTTGACCCTCTCACCTCTCTTGGGCTGGGGACAATGGGGTTGCACCTGACATAGACAGCAGTAAAGACTTCAGTGCTACTTACTGGGTAAGCAGCAGCAGGTACTCATTTTTCCCCAATCTCAACCTCATGACACACCTGCACAAACCCTTAAAAGCGCTTCTCCACCCTTAAGTGTTCCGTCTACATACCCCAAGCACCCCTAACTCAGGAGACAGTGGAGCACAAGATCTGTCTCAGGTTCCCTGGCTCTTCCTGAAACAGGGGCTTCAAAGTTTAAAGCCTGGATAAAAAGGAGGGCTAACAGCAACCATTCCAAAAACGAGAGAGACGACCTTCCTGTAAGCAAGCGAGTACAAACTTCAGCTCTACATACGTTTTCCAAACGGCAGCTAACACACCCACTCACGAAGCCAACATTTCCTTAAGAGTAAGAAACTGGCTAGACAGAGTCTGTGCAGGGAGATCGGCAAAACCAAAGTCAGGGAAAGTCCGCAGGCGCGACACGGCCCGCTAACCACGGCCTCGCCGGCCTCCCGGTCGCCAGCCCCCATCACCGTCCAGCAATCCCGTGCGGCAAAGCAGGACCTGCGGTGGGTCGGCCGGGTGCGTCGGAAAACTCCTCTGAGGCCGAGCCATCGGAGGCGGGCCGTGACCCAGCTCCACACCTGGCTTGGCTAGAGAACTATGGCTGGGCAGGGTCGCTCCGAAGACTGCGAGAGGGAAAGCAGAAGGCCGTGGGCAGGGAACGAGGCTGCGGGCCGTTACCGAGGCGGTGGCGGGCGAGGGCCGCGGGCTGGAAGGTGGCGACAGCGAGCGGGAGGAGGCCGCGGGAGGCCTAGAGCCCGGGCCGGCCACACCCGGGCGGCCTTGCGGCCCGACCTGAAGGCATTGGGGGAGTGGGGCGGCGAGGCCAGGCAGAAACGGCTCACCTGGCGGCCGCGGCCCGACGCGTCGCGGCGGCAGAGGCAGCGGCGCTCCCTTTGTCTCGGGACTTCCCTCCGCGCCCGCCGCGCGCAGCCCCGAGCGCAGGACCCCGGCGGGCGGGGCGGGGCGGGGCCTGAGCCGGGCTGTCCGTGGTGCGCCTGACCCGCGAGCCGCTGCCACCAACCCGCTCCCTGCGTCGTCCACGTCGCCCTGTTCGCCTCGTTCCCTGTGTCCTGCTGCCGCGCACCTGCTGCCCAGGCCCGCCTGGGAAGCTCGGGCGCGGGGCGCCTCTCCAGGCAGGCGGTGCCTCAGATACCCACACCCTTAAAGGAGCCGCGTCCCTGGAGTGAGGGAGCGTCTGCAAACTCCCTTTCGGGCTGCGTGCCGCCGCTCGAGAACACGCCGCCGAGCTGTACGGGGCTAAGGAGGCCGAGAGCCTCAAGGGCTCCCTGGATGGCCGGCGTGCACCTCTCCAGGCAGAGGACCCGGAGGTTTCCTTGAAATCAGGGTTCAGGTCTGGAGAGCAACAACCACTGAGGCCTAAGGATCTCCCAATCGTCGCAGGATGGTGATGGTACCCGGAGCACAGTACCTTGTGTTACTCTCTTCGATTGGCTAGTTCGGAGCCGTGGGCGGGGTTTCCCTCGAATCTACCCAATGCGCTGGGCCCGTACAAAGGGCCGGACATGCTCACTCTGACCTGAGGGAAAAGTGTAGACGCTCCCTAACCCCCAGGCTGGCCCTGGGTGGGGGAGGGGAGGACCGGAAAGGAAGGGGTTGTTGGGGGAGGGATGCTGCGGGTACCCTTGCCTCTCTGTCGGCCCCTAGTTCTTGGGAGGCGCTTCTCGTTTACAGCCTTGGGGGTCAGTGGTCCCCTAGCACCTGCCGGTCGGACAGGTGTCCAAGCCCCTCCAGGGACAGCTCTAGGGTACAGGGGTTCTGGGAAGCCTGTACGACAGGGATGGGCGAGGCCTGCCCAGAGATGCGCTCGGGATACCGGCGTGATCTGTTATCATCTATTCATTCATTCCCTCATTCCCTTCCTTCCTCTTTTCATTTTTCCCTTTTCTCTTTCTTTTTCATTTTTCAACCAACGCTCCCTTTTTCTCTCTTCCTCTTTCCCTGATTTCTCTAGCTGTCCTGTCTAAGGCTGTTGGTTCCTCCAGGCAAGGACCATGGGTTCCTTGCCCCCTCGTCCATATTTGACCCAGGGCTCAATGAGTGTGCAGTGTGGGTTCTTCGTTCTCCCAGCTGCCTTGTTAGCAGAAGGGAGAAAATCAGAAGAGTGGAAACCGCCAAGATCTGCTGGGCTGGGGAAGGTCCTTGTCAGGAGGGATTAGAAGGAGGCTTGGTTCAAGTACCAGTATGGCTGGTCACATAGGTCCATCGGCTCAGGTTCATTTGCACATAAGTGGCCTCCTGTGATTTGGTCAGCAAACAAAGTGGAAGTGGCCGCAACAGGGTCCTAGAGGGTCTGGCCTTGGAAGCAGAAGGGAAGGTAAGCTCTCCCAAGTCTCTCCCAGGCTGAACTCCAAGGGGTTTTCACTCCTAAGCACCCCCACTGTGACCCAGCATGGGATTGGCTTCGGACTGAACCCTTGGACTGAGATCTTTAGCAGCACCTGTTCACTGGGCCACCAGCTCTGAGCACTCCTGGGAATCTGCATTTCTAGTAAGTGTTATAGTTAAGCCTGAGTTTAGGGTTGCAGTTTTCTGGGTGAAAGTAAAGTTGTAGAGGAAAAGAAACAAGACAAGGCCCTGTGCTCCATGGTGTTTTGTTTTGTTTTTTGGCCAGCTCAGCCTGAGGGTGGGGCTGGCGCAGCATGTGGTGCCTGAGATCAAACCTCAGTCTTCTGCACCTGCCTAAGCTTGCCTAAGCAGACACTTTAGACCGCTGAGCTATCTCACTGACCCCCTGTGCTCCATATTGAGGGGATGGTGAAGAAGCACTGTTTGCAACATAGTTTCTGAATTCCACCCAACACAGAGAACTGCATCCTAGTGGACAATAATATGAGGCCCAAAGCCTTCATGCTAGAGAGATGTGGGGCCTGGTGGAAAGGAGGAGGGCAGGGTATAGGGCAGGTGGCCACCACAGGTCTGGGGTCTTCAGCCTAGAAACTTTCTCTAAGCAGCTTGCATCCCAGCACACATTTTTGTCTTGGAGCACAAGTGTGTTCATTGGAACCAGTTCCCTGGGGCGAGGGGGAAAACAAGGCCAAGGGAAACCAAGGGGTTAGTGCAGAATCAATATAAAGTCCTTGGAATGATTCTGCACGATGTGCCCGCCTTTGGCCCCACCCTGTGGTGAATGTGGAACCTGAATGTGCAGCCTACTGTACATTCTTTTGGCCTGCTAGGGGCCAGACTTTACACAGAGTTGTCATCAGGAGCTGCTGCTCTCAGGTGGGTTTCTCCAGAGGAAGAGAAGATCACCAGGCCAAAGAATGAAGTTGGGTCCTTACCTCACTCCCATCTATAAAACATAGCTCAAAATGGATCAGAGACCTACACAAAGCTAAAACTCTTGGAAGGAAACCAGAAAGCTTGAGACTGGATTTGTGAACAATTTCTTGGATATGTTTCAAAAAGTATAGGAAACAAGAGCAAAATTAGATAGACTAGAATGAGTATCAAAGATACTGTTGAAACTGTGGAAAGGCAACTCACAGAATGGGAGAATTTGCAAGTTTGTTTATATCTGATAAGGGATTAATACCCAGAATATAGAAACAATTTCTACAGTTCAACAAGACCAATTGTTTACTGTCTGACTTTAAGTTCGGAACCCTCTTCATCCTATTCCCTGGAGGTCACATGCCTGACCCTGAGGGCCACTGCTGTCCTGCAGTCCTACCCAGCCTGGTGGAAGAAGGCACACTTAAGTGGTTGAGCCTTGGTCCTCCTGGGGCCTCTGCCAGAGTCCCAGAGACTCTGGAGTCCTCTAACCCCTGACCACATCTGGGGTCTCTGCCTCTGTCCTGGGCCAACACATACTATTTTGCTTTCTAGCAGTCCATGTGCTTCCCGCCACGCCTGAGGGTGCCTCTATGTGGAGGCAGGTGACTTAGTCCAGTGGCCACTAGGCTAGCTGGGGCCAGTCCAGTTGATGGGCTGGGATCAAGACCAAAGTCCAGAACTCTCCCTATTTGCACAGTGTCTTGGATATTGTTTTTCTGTGGCTCCCAAGGGTGTCTGCTGCCAAACACCAAATTACCACTGTCATCAAAGAGAAGTGGCAGGACCATCACCTCTAGCTATAGCTCTCCAGCATTGCCTTCAGCTGTCTCCACCACAATGCCAGGATGTAAAGACCATGAGAACTGAGTTGTCAGCTCTTCTGAGAGATTGGAATGAGAAGTAGCTGACTGGCATAGGGGCTGCAGAGTACAAGAGACTGGCTGGTGAAGCTGATGTCCACCACTCCCTACAGAATGAGCTGGGGCCCTAAGTGAGAATTGAGCATGTACCAGCTGGTATCTTTTGGCTCTAACCTCCCAAATGGGCAGAGGAGCCCACAGAACGGGTTGTGACCTTCCATCAGTCCCCACCTAGGGGACAGTGTACTCTTGTATATTGAGGTCTCTCCCGCCACAGGTTTGTGTTTATTTCAGGGTAGAGAGCACATGTGGTGCCCTAGATTGAGAGGGTTGCATTGCCACCTTGTTAGGCAGATAGATGCTCACGTCACCTTCACTTCATGGGAACCTTGGCTGGCACAGTGCCTAGGCTCTCACACAGCCCCAGGTTCTCTGCACACTTGTCTTCTTACTCCTCTTGAGCAATCACATTTCTTTCTCATGAATGCTCCCCACTCAAGGCAGCCTGGTGGCTCCTTGCTGTTTCCTATAAGTCCCACCCACCTGGGTGGCAGGGAGCTGGTGACTCAAATGGAGGATGGGAGATGCTGGCTTGGCCGTTGGTAGTCTGGGGAAGAATTCATTTGGGGCATTCTGGGTTTATGGAGACTGCTGGGAGCATAGACCTGGGTGTTCTCAATGTGCAGATGTCCCTGAGCTGGGAGGTCAGAGGAAGGACATGAGACTTAGGGACAGCGTGAGGACCCCGTGAAGGAGTGGACACTAACCCTAACTTTAACCCAGGGAGCCACTCCAGGCAGTATCCAAAAGAACTAAGAGACCAGTGGAGTGAGGACTTCCAGGTCACCAATAAATGGGTGACCAAGCAAGACAGTCTGCTGCACAGGAACTGTTCAGTCAGTGGCTTTGGCTCTCTGCTGCCTGCTGGTGGCCGCTCCAGGGACACTGACACTTTGGGGAAAAACAACCAGGGTAGGGCTACAAGGGAAGTCTGAGTAAGAGCTGGCCTCAGAACCAAGCAAATGGAGGCCATTACTAGGACACCAACGCCTGAGCACAGAGAGCGCCTTGCTCTGGACAGAGTGACACAGGTAGCATTGGGGATCTAGGTTGGCCAGAGCTACGGAGCCTACCAGGCCTTCTAAACTGAAGTTTCTTAGCTTCTTAGGTGGCTTTAGCATCTGCAGAAGTGGCTTACGTTTGTGTGTGTGTGTGTGTGTGTGTGTGTGTGTGTGTGTGTATACGTACTACTGGGATTTAAAAAAAAATTTATTGTCTTTTTGAGACAGTTTCACTATGCAGTTTTAGGCTGGTGTTGAACTAACACTGTAGCGTAGGATAACTTCAAACTCAGCACAATCCTCCTATCTCAGCCTCCAGAGTGCTGGGCTGCGGGGATGTGTATCACCATGCCCAGCCTATTACTAAGCTTTTACACTAAGTTATATCCTAGTACTTAAAATATTTTTCTTTTTAAATTTTTTGTTTTATTGGTACATGTTAGAGTTTGTATCTGTACATGATCCATCTTCCTTTTTTTCCCATTCCCATTCCTTCCCTTCAGCCTCTCTTAATTTACAAAAGCTTTGTTTTGATTTTTTTCTTTCTTCTTTCCTTATTCTCTTCCTACTCCCTCATTTGAAGATTTTTTTCCCACTTACCAATATCTATTATACATTTTGGTCCTTATTTATACTTTCAGTTTCTTACAGTAGAGAGACAATGTGATATTTACACATATGTGTCTGATTTTATGGTCTCAAGGTGCATCCATTTAGCTACCAATGTCCAGGGTTATCCTTCTTTACATTAGAGTAGTACTCCATTGTATAAACCCCCCACATTTTCTGTATCCATTCCTTGGTTGGTGGGCATTTGGATCTGTTCCAAGATTTGGCCATTATAAACTGCAGCACTATAAACATGAACATGCATATATTTCTGTGGTGTGATGCTTTTACTTCTTTTGGGAAGATACCAAAAAGATGAATAGCTGGGTGGAACGGAACCTCTAGTTTTAGTTTTTTGAGAAATCTCCATACTAATTTCCACAGTGGTTGCACCAATCAACACTCCCATCAACACTGGTGAAGGGTTCCTTTTCCCCTACAGCCACCCTAGCACTTGTTATCAGTTCTTTTTTTTTTTTTACATTTCAAACAGAAAAAAAACCCAAAATTTCAAAACAAGATAATAGGAGGGTATAATGGTCAATACATTGCATATTGTTATCTTTAAATGAGTTACTTAGAGT